GCTATACAGGGAGTTGACTCACATTAATTTCCTGTGCATGTGTGTTACCTTCTAGGTTAATTCTTCTTGATCTAACCTTTTCTGTAGTTCCTGGTCCCCTTCTCCTTTGGCCTCAGTTGCTTTTAAGGTATCTGCTTTAGTTTCTCTGCGTTGAGGGCAACAAATGCTAGCTAATTTTTTAGGTGTCTTACCTATCCTCATATCTCCCTTGTGTGCTCTCACTTTTATCTTGTGAACAAAGTTCAATCCCCTTGTTTTGTTTGCCCTTGATCTAATATCCACATATGCGGGAGAACATACGATTTTTGGTCTACAAAAGGATCTTTTTACAATGGTTTGTTTTTCCCAAGGGTTTCTCTTGATATTTTTTACTTAAATTGTTGTCATCTGAAGTATCTTCAAGTGTTATCATCCAAGATCATTCTGACTTCTTCAACAGTTAACTGATATCACTCTGCAAGATCCAGACTTACCAGTGGCTTTGTGGAGGTTTGACCAGTTTTCCAACATCATTTGCATGATTTTGTGAGCCTTGCATCTTTTGCAGAAGGGTTCATTGTCAATCTGTGGTAAATTTGCATTGTGTTTTAATCAGATAATCAGATTCATGGCAATTAAGGGCCATTGGATAGACGATTTTTCATTGGTCCCCATTCTCAGTTTGCTCAGAGTCTTGTATTCATAAACTTTCTATGTTTAGTCCTCTAAGCTAAAGTCAGTATAAGCAGTGATTGGAACACAGAAGGAACCAAAACAGAGAAGTCTGGTCTGGGGAATCCCTCCCCTATGCCTCCTGGCAGGTATCAAATGCCGGGCTGAGGTAATAAGCAACCCCCTACCAAAACACCATCCATTGACATTTTTCCTAAAACCAGGGAATAGCTAAGTTTAGCCAGATTTTCTCTAGAATTGATTTTTTTATTGTTGTACTGGAGGTATATTGTGACATTTATAAAAGTTCTTATAATATATGATAGTTGAATTCATCCCCTTCATCATTCTCCTTTATCCCCCCTTCTCCTATTCCTGGAGTAGTTTAAACAGGTCTCATTTTTTTCCACTTACATCCATATGTACATAGTATTTCCACCTGATTTTCAAAATTGAATTTGAGAACCAGGCATGATGGTGTACACCTGTAATTCCAGATCTCAGGGGGTTGAGGCAGAAGGATCTTGAGTTTGAGGCCAGCCTGCGCTGTATATTGAGGCCCTGTCTCCACCCCCCCACCACCACCAAAATTGAATTTGATAAATTTGTTTTTGCAGTTCTGAGGTTTGAACTCAGGGCCTACACCTTGAGCCACTGTACCAGCCCCACCCCCTTTTTGTGATGGGTATTTCAAGATAGGGTCTTGTGAACTATTTGACTTGGCTGGCTTCAAACCATGATCTTCCTGATCTCTGCCTCCTGAGTAGCTAGGATTACAGGTGTGAGCCACCCGTGCCTGGCTAATATTTTTTAATATAAAAACTTTTAAAGTTCTGGGTCTTTCTGTGGCTGTAGGGTGCCTACTTGGCCACCAAGGAGCTATATGGCTCAATAATGACCTGTTTTTATAGCTGTGTTTTGGACATGACCTAAACCAAGGAAACAAGGAAGGTGTTGCCTTGAGGTAAGGTGCTCCCCTAACAGTCAGGAGCTGTGTGGACTTTATAAACTGTAGTTAAGATAGTTTTCTCCTTTCCGATGTGGATTTAAAGTGAATAAGTGCAGGCTAATTCCCCTTGTGCCTCTTTCATTGCCTCTCCCCACCTAGGAGCAAATGTCCAGCACTTCCCAGTGGCTCTCAGGTGCCAGGAGCCTCATTTGTAAGGACTATTAACTGAGATTCTGAGATGGAGATTCTCCTGCAAGTGATTTTGTGGGGAAAGAGGAGAAGAGGGGGACAGAATGGGGCAGAGGAAGGAGCCAAGTAGGGGTGAGGTCTCAGCCAGTGTCTTCTTCAGCCCAGTTCTGTGAGGCCCAGGAACATGAACTACATGACAGAGTGAAGGGGAAAGAGCCTCATTTTCTTTGTTACCCATGTCAGTCATGGCTATGAAATGCCTGCTGGGGAGAGGTTAGAACTAGACTGGCAAAATAACTCCATGTAGCAGGGGCTGTTGAACTTGTCCAGGAAAGGGGCTCTAAGAGTACCAACACCACCCATACAGGAGTACTGGGGTTTGCCAGAGCCCAAGTCCTGCTTCCTCTCTGCCTCCTTGAGAACCAAAGCTGTAACATGAGAGAGGGGTATAAAGACTTTTGATTGAGACAGCTTCAGTGGCCCCAGGAGGACTGTGCTGACTACTGCAGGAGAGTAATTGTGATACCCCTTCCGACAGCACTATCCCAGGAGCACAGGCCTTATGCTCAGCAATCTTGTTCCTAAAGATGTCTTTGGTTTTCACTCTTTTGCTTGTCCTTACCAAGATCCAGCCAGAATTATGAAATTTTTAAACTGAGTTGGATGGAAGAAAAACTTAGAATAATGAAATAAATTTTGATTTAAGTGTTATTTCATAGCATTTTAGAATTAGCAAAAATAAGAGAATTCATCAGGACTTGAATAATTAAAAGTAGCCTTAGGTTAATCTAAGTAAACTAAGGTTCCCTCATGTTTCAAAGTAAATTTTGAAGCTGTAATCATTCCTTCACATGCATGGGAAAATGAAGAACTCTTGGGGAAATGAAGCTCAACCTCAAAAACAGACAGACCTTTGCCTTAAATTGAAAACCTCTCTCCTGATTTGAAAGGGATTTCCAATGAGGTATTGAGCATTATAATAGGAGATGAGAACTAACTGGGTAAGTTGTGTGTGTGTGTGTGTGTGTGTGTGTGTGTGTGTGTGTATGTATGTGTTTGTATATACTGGGATACTTTTGAGAATATTACACCAGGATGACAGACATGAACCAGTATTGTCCTAGGGAAACCAAAAGAGTTAACATCAGCTGAGACTTGGGTTCACTGCCTCTGATGCCCACAAGCCAATTAGGTAGGGTTTAGAGTAGCTTCTGCTTGGGTCATTTGTAGATACTTCTTCTGGCAGGTGTAATAGAGAGGAAGAAGAGGCCAGCCATAGTGAATCATTAGTGCCAGTCTTTCAGGTCTTGGGACAGAATTTGAGAAATGATTCTCTGATTTTCTTTATTAAAATTGCAGTGCCTAACTGCTAGGTTCCAAGAGCAGTCCTCACATTTGCTGCCACACTTTCATATGGTGATGTCTGTTTCTCTGAGATTTCTGCCTTTCTGAGATGAGCTCTACAAGAGTAGGAACTATCATCTTGCATACCTGGATCCAAGGTGCTGAATATGGGATATGATATGATGCCTCAGATGGATGTTAATGGTCCATTCTGAATCCTGGCCATTTCTATGTTATGGATATAAACTTACTACCACGAGTATCCACATTTTTAAATGTTCCCAAGGTGATACTAATGTAGGTGATCTTGGGTCTCTAGATGAGGAATGCTGGGAAGGTCATGGAGAGCCATTAGAAAACTTATAATCATTGATCAGTATTTCCAAGATTGGGTACAAAAAAGATATGTTATGGTTTCCTTTTCTATTTGTTTTAATTCTTATTTGTACAATTGTATTTTGAATTTTTTAATTTTGTTTGTTTGTTATGTTACTAATTCTAAGGTAAGTTGTTCTGATGTTTAACAAACAAACTACATAAGTCATTAAAAACCCAACTCAATGAATTTTCACAGAATGGTTACATATGTGTGACTAGCATCCAAAACAAGAAAGAGAACATTTCCAGAACCCAGAGGAAACTCCTTGTATTTACTGCCTCCCCATTTAGTGTCTTGACTTCTAACCCATAATTTGTCATTTCTATTTTTGTGTATTTGATAATGTTCATAAAATGTTAGAATAGTAATATGTGTGTATAATCTACATGGATAAATTATGGCAAATGCTCACATTTTTTAACAATCAAATGCATAATAAAAAAATTCATTCTGCAGTCTAAAGAAGTAGAATGTTGTTCTGAGCTGAGATGTAGGTCTTAGAAATTGGAGGAAGGTGCAATCGTGGCATTAAGTGCCAGAATTCATGAGTTGGTTCCTTTTGGCTGCCATTATCATTGGCTGTGCTCATTCTCTAGAAATTCTGGGCCATGAAAGTGGCAAGGCATTAGCTTTTAGAGTTTGCCAAGTCTGATCCAGATTCTTTCCCCTGTCGGCTGAAAGGCTTCACTGAACCTCAGTGTCCTGGCCTGGGACACAGGTTTGGATATTCAGCAAGTGTTAGTTCTATTCTGACCCTTTTCCTTCGCCAAAATCTGCAAACATAGTGCCTCCCTTGGAAGTCTTGATTTGGCTCCAGTAACTCAAAAGTTAGAAGAGCCTCCTGGCTTTCCTTTGACCTTGGGAAACCTGTGCCCGGGTGGGAAAACAAGCTCCCTGCAGCCTCTTTCCAGTTCTCCCAAGGCACAATTTGCAGCCTAGTGGAGACCAACTACCCTGGAATTGTCTCTTTATCCTGGCACCCACCCCTCTCCCTGAGAATACTTGCAGGTGGGCAGCTCTGCATTGCTGCTTCAGACTGTAGAAAGAAACCCTCTTTTCCTTTGTATGATTTTCTTAGAATTTGTCTTTCCTAAGCTATCAAGACCTTGAAAGGCAGGATTTGTGAATGGGCTTAGGAGGAAGGGGCCAGAAAGATAACTAAGCTACTGTTTAGTCCAACCCTGAGGAGACTTCCAGCTCACCATGGCCCAGCCAGTTTGTCAGGCTGGCCCCACCATTTAGACCTAAAGCATTAATCTAAAATGAACAGTGGTTTTATCCTCTTCACTTGTCTTCTCAGGGAACCCTTGGGGGTGAGTAGCCAGAAGAGAACTGGGGGCTTGGCCTGATTACAGGGTTTCTGGGTCCACCAAAGCCCCAGGGACTGCTGTCTGAAAACTACTCTCAAGGACTTGATGGCCTGAGGTCACTTCCTTACCTCTGTCTTCCATGCAGCTTGTACATCTGTTGGTGCTTTTTCTCTTTCAGGAGGAGATGGGCATTTCCTGTGAGCTACTGGAATCAGACTTCCTCAAATGCAGCGTGGGATTTCCTTTCATGAGGTCAAAGTCAAAGGTAAGGGACAGAGATGGGGCACTACCTTGGCTGCAGACTCCTCAGTTCTTCCCACCAACTACTGACTCTACAACTGTTTCCCTAAGGTTTCTCCCCTCATTTCTGCCTCCCATGGTGGCTGGGGTGGCCACCAAAGTCCTGTCATGTTCCAGGGGGACTGCAGTCACATGGTCTTTCTCTTTAAACCACATGATGTTCCTAAAATGTGAAAGACACACTACAGACTTCTTTGTACTTTTGAAAGTGGCATTTAACCACTATTTTAGGAAAACACTCCTAAAATGTTTTCTTCTGGGACATCTCATACCATTTGTCCCAACACAGCAGAGACGAAGCTATGGTCTGGGTTAGTGACTATCACTCCTCTTGAGCACTCAGAATTTTCTGGAGCCTCTCAAAATTCTCAAACATAAATGATCATATTCCACTTCATTTTTTGAGTTGTAAAAGAAGTTACAGTCATTTTGGTATTTATGAGGAGCCAAATTTCCTAAGCTCAAGCAATAATGTGGTACAGCATACCCAGACATTCAAGAAGCATTCTAGTATGTGCAGTGGTTATAAGGAGACAAAGGAGATACAAAGATGGCTAGAAGATTGATGTGGAGAAGCAAAACTAGAGTCTAAAAGACTAGATCTGGCTTTTGAAATGGAATCTGTTTTCCTGCTGTAATTTGAAGGAAATTTTGTACTCCTTGAAAGTTTCATCATTCTTTCCTGTCTGTATCGTAGAATCATATCATTTTAATCTCTCAGGCTTTTTGGTTCCAGGACCTAGTAGCTGTTTTGTAAACCAATGGTGAGAATGTTGTATTGAGAAAGACTTGCTCACTTACCAGCAAATCACTAGAACCCATTGGTAGCATTGGATATATCTGCCCCAAACCACAGTGGCAGTTATGTCCATGGTCACCCAGCCTTTCTATGTCTGGGCTCCTCCTTCAGTCCACATTCACCCCAGGAGAAGGGAAACCTTGAAGAATGGCTTCCCTTAGGAAATGGATCACAGACACTTAGCAGGGTACAGGCTAGATCCATAAGTTCACGTAGATGAACTTGGGGATGAAGGAAGAAGACGCAGAACTATGGGCAGCTTTGCCTATAGTAAAGTGTATGGCAACTCCACACACACATTTATTTTAATTTTTTTGAGTAATAGAAAATATACTTAGTTGAGAAACTTCAACAGTTATAGCATTGTAAAATCTAAATCCTATACCACAACCAAACCTAAGATGTGTCTCTAGTGATATATTAAATTTTATCAAAATTTATTTACCCTCAGAATAGTCATGGAGTCAACAGAAATGTGAATATAGAAATGTTAAATATTTTAATCAGCTGCCAATGCCACTACTTTCCTCCCCCATGTAGATTTTAAGACCTGTAGCAAGACTAAACCCAGAGAGAGTATGGGAGAGGAGATGAGCAAGCCCAGCAAGTCAGGCTTCAGGGACAGAGCTTCCCCTATCCGCAGCTCAGCTCACCCTCCCCTATCCTTCAGACCCTGGGGGTCATCAAGCCCCAGAAACATGCTAACCCTCATAACTGAACTATTGCTCACTTTGTTTGGCTGTTATGCTCTGTCACTCATGGCCAGCCTTCCCAGTTTTGGGCCTTCATCTCTGATTCTGACTTCTCACCTTGATATTTAGTTTGTTTAATTTAATTCAGCTCTTCTGCCCGTTCTGACTTATTCAGGACGAGACCCTTCTCTTTTCATCAGCCCTGTTTCTTGCCTTGTTGCCACACCTCACTCTCCGTGTAAAGTGACAAGTCCAACAGCAACAGAAACTTATGTCAGAAAAAGGACATTCATGTCCACCATAGATAACAGTCCAGTGCAGTAATATACTGTCCATTGCTCTCAATTAACATTCAGTTCAGTAGAATCCAATGCCACATAAACCAGACTATTGCTAGAATTTGTTAAATGGAACCCAAATCATTTAGATATATTAAATAAATCATAGGCTCTCAGAATGTTATGGAATTTAAAGGTCATTTTGTCTGACCTCTTGTTATTGAAATGTGAAGTGATTAATGTCATGAATTTGGGGAGCTGTGTGTTGGTAAAAGAATTTACTAAGACAGAAAGTAGGAGAAAGTAAAGATTTATTAGGACATCAATGAAAGGGGATAGAATGGCAGGAAGCTATGCAAAGGAGTATAGCATACCAAGACAGAGTCAAGAATAGGTTTTATACGTCAAGTTAGGCCACATTTGATTGGCTATCTCCCTTTTTGTGGACCTTACTGATTCGTTGTCTCTTCCCAGACCATGGTTTGAAATTTGCACACTTGGGAACATCTTCTGAACTCAGCCCCTCCTTCCTCATTCCACCTAGCTCTTGGTATTTTGTTCCTGCCATGCCTCCATAAATAAGGGACTTTTCTTCACAATTAAGTGTTTTGGCCAAGGTCACTTTGTGAGTTTGTAGTAGAGCCTTGTTGTATAACCCCTACCCAAGGGTTCCTCCCATGTTCCTGTACATGCCCAACGTGCACCTAGTGAAAACCATTTGTTTAGGGCACTGTTCCCCAAATCACAGGATACTTACCACCGAGACTGGTATGCTAAAATGATATTAGATGGCTCATGAGATTATTTTGGGTAATTCATGGATACAATATTGACTCTTAACTGTGAGAAAGTTGTTACCTCCCTCTCTCCCCTCCTTCCTTCTTCCTTTCTTTCTTTGCATACTGAGGATTGAACTCAAGGCCTCGAACTTGCCACTGGAGCCATGTCCCCAGTCATTTTGCTTTTAGGATTTTTTTTTTTCAAGGACAGTCTCAAGCTTTCTGCCCCTGCTATCTTCATACCTCTGCCTCCTACCTTCACCTCCTAAGACATTGGGATTACAGGCATGTTCCATCACATCCAGCTTATTTTTGAGATAGAGTCTCACTGACTTTTACTCAGGCTGTTCTCAAACTTTCATCCCCCTATCTCTGCCTCCCATCTTTTCTCTTCTTACGAAGTCACTAATCCTCTCATGACGGTCCCACCCTCACAATCTCATGTAAACCCAATTACCTCCCAAAGGTTCCAACTCCAAATACCATCACTTTGGGAGCATCAGCTTCAACATGAATTTGCTGGAGACAGAAACATTTATCTCATAACACTTTTCAACACTCTTTTAGTCCTGACCACATGAAGGAGAAAATCACCAGCAGTGCTAGCATATCTATCTTTAAACTAAAGGAATGTGACAACAAAAATACAAAGTAAATATCACAGCCGATATAATGTGAAAATGTGGAAAAATTGGGAAGATGACATGAGTGAAATTCAGAAAGCCCTGGTTTTGGAATTCAAAGACACAGCAAACATTCTTTAAGTATGGAATGCTCACTGGCACCAAATGTCACTTTCTTTTTCCCTAGTATGAATTCAGTGTGATCTTTGATACAAGCCACCTGTCTGGGAAGGAGGAAGTTCTCAGCTTCATTGTTACTGCTCAGAGGTAAGGAGGCCTTAAATACTCTTTTGAAGACAAAAGATTTATAGGACCAGGAAAGGTCATGCCTTGATCATGCTTTAATGATCCCTGGGATGCTGAGGAGAAAGGAACAGTTACTCAGTTACTCCCACTGGGTTGGGATCAGATCTCAATGGGAGTTCTTTAGTTCTGCTTTTGTAGTTGCTACTTCCAACTGGGCTGGGAAGGACTAAGAATCAGCTAGTCAGAAGTAATGATTCTACAAGTGAAGAGAGACAAGCCTGCAGAGTTGAAGTTCTAGTCTAAGGTCACCACATTGATGGTCAGTTCCCACTTGGCTATATGTTACCCAAATCAGACAGATGTCCTCTGTGCATTGTCAGGCTGAGTCAGCTACTTTTCAGGGACATGCTGCTGCATCCTGTGGTGAAGAGGGGAAGGACACTTACAACCTGAGGGCCTGGCCAAGCCAGCTTGAAGAGGCCCCCATGCTATGTTCCTTGAGAGACAGGTTTTCCTGGAAACCAAGTAGACAGATAGGAAAGGGGCTGATAGGATGGTAACCTCTGCCCTTAGGAGTGTGAATAGCAGTTCATTGAGGCAATGTCTCAGTAGTGACTGGCTAACAACTCAGATGAAGGAAAAGGCATTTAGGAAAGTGAATAGGGAGATGTAAGCTTTGATGGTCTCCCAAGACTACTTGTTCAATTTAAATTTTTACTTGGAAATGGTTTTAATCTTAACAGTGTTACAAGAATAGTAGAGAAAAACTCCTATTATACCCTTTACCCACATTCACCCAACACATTTTGCTTCATTTATTTCATTGTCTTTCTGTCTGTATATATATATTTCTCAGCCATAAGAGATAAGTTGCAGCAGTAATGCCCTGTTATCCATAAATACCCAGTGTACATTCCCCAAGAAGGAGGCTAGTACAGTTATCAGACTCAGGAAATCTAACATTGATACAGTTGTATTTCTAGAGCACAGTTCATGTTCCAATTATGCCACTGCTCCAATGTCTTTTAGACACCTTTTCACTGAACTACAAGACTTTGTTATTTTCTATTCGCCTTACTTTCAGCTCACCTAATTCATGTTCACATAACATCATTGTGATCTAATAGGAATACATGCAAAGTGTAGAGAGGGCAGATTTCACGTTCCCATTGCTAGAATCCAGAAGGGCTCCCCTGGTGGGAGCATCTGGTTTCAGGCTGAAACACAAAGCATAGCAGTAAAAGTACCCATGGTCCCATTTGCTATTATAGCCCCTATACAAGGGCAGTGGAAGATGGATTGAAAGATGAGACTGTTTGGGCCATGGGGGACAAAAGTAACCTCAGAAAGTCTGAATGATATTCTGACAACAGTGAAGGGAGCCATTGAAAGTTTTTGAAGAGGAGAGTGACACAGTGGGCAGCTTGACCACAGAGCATGATGAGGTTGTTGCGTTTAATACGAAAGCTAGATAGCCATACAAATCTGAAATTTCTCTTTCTACTATTTCTGATCCAGAAAAAAGTTAACATTGTCAGGCAGATCCATCAATGTGCCCTCTCAGCCCTTCAACACCTGGGGTAGCCCATGTTCCTGGGAAGGAACATGACATGGAAAGGATTTCCTTGTCAAAAACACCTTACTCAGAGAGGTCAGAAAGGGCAGGGGCCAGAAGTACTATGGTGAAAGATTTGTTTATTACAATAACATTGGAATCACCTAGGGAGCTTTAAAAAATACTGAGGCCTGCTATACCCTGCCCCACCCCAAGATTCTGATCTAATTGGTCTAGGGTGAGAGGTGGCCATTGGGATTTTTGAAAATGCTTGTCAAGTAATTGTAACAAGCAGCCAAGGCTAAAAGCTACCATCTATACTCCATTACTCTTTTCCAGGCACTTTACTTCTCAATAAACATCTATTTATTATGCATCTGCTGTTTACCAGCTGCAGTGCTAAGTGTGGACCACATAAGAAAATGCTAATAACCTACTAAATTCAAGAGCATCCCCTTATAGACATTAATATTGTTGTACAGCATGAGTTAGCCTAGTATTTTTAGCTTATATAATTAAATATAAGAATTTGTAATTTCTGATTCCTTGAATCACAGATATTAAGGAGATTGTGTTAACTTTTGAATGCACACCATAATATTTCAAGCCCTTGTTTCTTTTCAGGCATTGGTGAAAATCTGGTCATACTGCCCCAGAGGGCCCTCACAACACTTGACTCCCTGATAACAACAGACAGAGCCTCAAAGCCCCTTATCTTGAAAGCCACAGTTAAAATATCAGTCATTCCTTTTCTCCATCACCACCCTTTGAAGGTCTCTTGCCTACTTGTAGATTTAGGAGGGCATAAACTGAGACTAAACAGTATGTCAAGACCTCTCTTCTCCACATCCAGCAGCCTGGTTTGCAGCCCTGGAAAACTTCCCAGCATGTGAACTTGTGGGATGGCAGGGAGCCATTTGATGTTTGGCCTCTTTATCTCAGCTTTTCAACTTGGCTCATTCTGGAGCCCTTGCCCCATGACAGATGAGATTGTTGGGCCTGAGCTGCCAGTGGCCACAGGTGGCTGAACAAAGGGCAGGGCAAGGGGTGGCTCTTTCATCAGGAATGGATTACTCAGATCTGGCAGGATGCTGGGGTGGGGAAAGTGTGGGGCCAGGATGGTGCCATTGCACTGACAGGGGTGTCACGGGTCTCTCATAGCAGTGATTCCAGGGCTTTTATTGCCCCCGGGAAAGGCAAGGCAAGGTCTTCACCTGACTCTGTGCTGCCATGTGCTATGGCTGCCCTGTGAGGGACTGACAACATCCCATATGTAGAAGACAGATGTGAACCAGGGGCAGTAAGTGGCCCTGCAGGGTCAGAGTCACAGAGCACCATTGTTGCAGAACAATAGGGGAGAGAATGAGAGGGGATGTGAGAGCTATTTTCATACTTCTTGCTGTTCAGCACTTGCTGGTTGAGGAGGAAAACAGGTAGGGGGACACAGACCAGATAGGAGTTCAGCAGATGCTCAGGAATAGTGTGGTAGGAATTAAGATGGACTGTGCCTAAGCCTCAGCAGGTCTGGGGGCTCTTACATTCCATCCCTGGAGAGTGAACTTGGCTTTTGGCTAGAATCCCCTACTCATTCTATGTGGTGAAGCCAACAGTAAGTGCTGTTGCTTCCAACAGCACATGCACCCAACCATCATGCCTTTTCCCATGGCAGCCCCTTCCTTGGAATAATTGCCATTCAGATCAAAGTTTAATGAAGCTAGGAAAGGGAAACTAGGTCTTATCACTCTTCCTCGTCTTACTTCTCCTCCTCTCGCCTGCCTCTCAATCTGAGATGAGGAAAAGGAATCAGTGCATAGAGTCCTGGTGCATTGGAATCTGAAGCTGGTTGGAATCTCTTTCTGTTTGAGTTGCAGTAGGGCCGTAACCTATTTGAGCTGCTTGCTCCTCACCTGTTAAGAGTGATAATACCCACCCGCTGGGGTTACTATGAAGTCACAGCAAGATCATACTGAGGAGTGTCCACCACAGTGCCTGGCACAGAGTAGCCACTCAGTAGCATCCACTCCCTTGTGCTCCCCTTCCAAAGAACTTCACAAGAATCCCATTGTGTGCTTCCTTCTTGTGAAGATATTTTGGGTGCATTGGTGAGAAATGCTATAGCCAAAATCTGTAGCAAGAGTATGCAAGGAGAGAATTGGCCAAGGTCCCTCTTTACAGATAATGAGAGAGCCTTCCATATGACAGATGGGTGCTAAGATATAGGAGCACCCTCCCTGTCTACAGTGTCCTAACCTCACTGACCCACTGTCCATGGGAAGTGCTTACAGAAGCAGCACATACAACAGGTACTCAACTGTCACTATTCCCAGCACACCTACTGATCAGCTTCCAACCACCAGCTCCTGCCATCCTGCTGAGACTTTCTGTGATCAGAACCTATTCACCTGTGTGACAGGGAGGTGTCCGAGGATTCCTGTCTTTCCCCCACCACAGCAGCCCTCAGGAGTCAATAGATAAAAGCCAAGCTCTCGTGCCCTTAGTTCCCCAGGACCTCCCCCATGAGACTGAGTCCCAGATTCTTCCAGAATAAGCATCCTGAATGGCACACATTTAGTGGCTTCTTTTCCTGTTCTCCTTCTCCACTCCCTGATGGAGTTTCCTGGGGTCACCTCCCAAATAAACTACTTGCCCTCACAACTTTGTGAGTAGAGCACAACTAAGTTGAGTGCCCCCTATGCCTCAGTACTAAGGGACTCTACCAAAACCAGAACTAAGAACAAATAAGGTGAGTCTAGAAAATATAGAGATTCCACTCTTATGTGGGGCACGTGAGCCTGCTGCTGGATAGGTCTGGTTCATTCTTCTCTCCCTGCACAGTGGCAATGTGGAGCGCTCTGAAGCCCTGCATGACAACACCATCACACTGACGGTGCCACTGGTGCACGAAGTGGACACATCCATCACTGGGTGAGTAGCCCAGTCCTGGATTGCCAGAATACAGGGGTGTCCTCCAGCACAACAATGTACTTCCCTTGGTTTGCAAGCGTAGCCAGCCAGCAGCCAGTGGCCCTGCCTCTTCCCCACCTTGAAAAGCAGGATGAAGCTTTGGTTATAGTGACTTGCGCCGCCCCCTCACCCCTTGTTTTCTCCTTAGTAGGTCCACCTGGTTGGTAACATGAGAAGTTTGATGACAAGTTTAAACCCCCTAATTTCTTTGAACATTCTGTATACCATTATATGCATCTTTTCCCAGCCTCCCCTTATCTACCAACTCTAGAGTGTCATGTGGGTCCTGGGATTAAAATATCAGCTAAATCTACTAGGCCAGAGGTTGGAGCCAGATGTGTCCCAAGCCTGGCTCAAAGGATCACCTTTCTGATTAGCTTCATAGTCAGCTCTGGCTTTGCATGTTTCTGTTAACTCCTACTGCAAAGCCAGAAACAGCTCTGTCTGATGTCTATGATGGCCTGGAATGAACAACAGCCACACCACCTGTCAGGTAAAGTTGACAGCCACTTAGTGCTGGAGGACATTGCTGGAAAGCAATGCTACAGGCTATAGTCTGCAGGGACCAAAATAACCTGAATCAGCTTTCAGCCAAAGCTCAGGCCATAAAAAATGAGCGCTCAGTTCCTGTTTCCAGCTTCAGTGTACATACCTTTTTGATAGTGTAAAACAGATTTGTACAATTGGTTTAGATCAAATGAGGACCCACTGAACCCTTCACTCAAATGTGAGCTGAGCTCTTTGGAGTTCACAGTTTCTCATTTTTCATTTTCTAATGCTTCAGAGTCTCAGCCTGGTCGAGCAGGGAGATGTTTCTATGTTGTGGGAAAGCTGTCCCTGCAGTTGCTCCTGCTTTCTGGGAGCCAGTGGAGTAAATGGCCCTCCATTCCTGCTCCTGAGCTCTTGGCAGTATAATCATGGTTCTTAGACCTGAGGTAGTGGTGGAATATATTTGCAAATTAGCATTTATTTGCCTCTATTCACAGCTCTGTTTTTAACCATATGGTTTATTTGTCCCTTCCAAGGCATAGTGAGAAATACTCAGAACCAAGCCTTAGCCCTTGGGGATAAAGAGAAAACACCTTCCACACACACTTGATCATGTTGTCAGACCTTGGGAGAACCTCACTAGGAGGTGTTAACAGCCTCTGATGAAACCATCATTTAAACAAATGAGTCAGTCTCTGATCTTTCCAGGAACACAAAACAGGATGAGTTTCAACAAACTAGTTCTTGCCATTTAGCAATGCTAAGAACTCAGTGTTTTCCTAAAATAATGTGCTTAAAGTGAAAATAGAAGGGTTATTGTCTACTTGGACTTGGTCCCCCCAAAAAAAGTCTTACACTGATGTGTTTGGATACATGAGTGGCTTTAAGCACCTAAGATCCTTTACTTGTCTGGGGTATCAGTGTGAGCTTTGTTTCTCTTCGGGTTTGTTAACGCAAGCAATATTAAAAGTATTGCTGCAAACAGAGTTGGAATTCTTAATCACCTTGTAGGTGGTCACTATCTGAAATCTTAATTGAAAAGTCATCATTGAATTGACTCAGCTTTCATATACCTAATTTCTAGTAATTGTGGTAGTCTGACACATTTAAATTAAGTTTCTTAAATGAATTTGTTCCATAGTGATTTTAGGATACCAAATACATAATTCACTTACATTATTTCTTAAATGCTTATTATCAGCTTTCTTGATCCATAAAATGTCTTTCAAATGACAAAATATAAAGTGTATAACTTTCTAATCCAGGTTTTTAAAACATTACCATAGCTTTGATGTTAAACTTTCTTATTTAGAAATGTAATCTTGGTACCTGATGTTTATGTAGCTTGCTGATAGGACCTAAGTAAGACTAGGAGATATACAGTAAATCTCTGTTTAGAAAGCATAGTTGGCTGTGTCCATGCATAGGAAAGAGAAGTAACAGTCCCAGCAGGGACATCTGGTGGAATTTTGGGTTTCTCATAATGGCAGTGGTGTGAGTACCTTGATCTGGGGTGGGATGACAGCTTTTTTTTTTCCTTCAGAATCGTGTCTCCAACCTCCTTCGTGTATGGTGAATCTGTGGACCCATCCAACTTCATTCAGCTAGATGACCTGCAGTGTCATTTTCAGACCCTCAATGTCACCCTTCAGGTACCCATCCCTGGAAAACACCTCAGAAGACCCCAGGGATATGTCTTCTAGTGAGAGGCAACTGAGGGGTTGGGGTTCTTTCAGGAGAAACCCTTCCCAGCCTGGTTTTCTGGCATGGGAGTTGTGTGTGTGTTCTTTGTAACCACACACCTACAGATTTCTCTGCTTTTTAAGATGTGAAGTATACCCCTCCTGTGAACATCAGCTTTTCCAGGAAGACCCTTACTTACTATTCTCCACCTTAAGAGGAGGGCAGCCTTAGAGGATTGGCTGCATCCCCTTCTTGACTAGGTTTTCAGGCTGACTCAGCCATAGCCCATTTCTTCCCCAGGGAACAGCCTTTCAAAAGTGCAGTTCTACAATAGCAAAGCAGTGTGGGCCCATTTAATTCCCCATGAGAAGGAGTGCATTGCTCACTGAGGCAGGGCTGACTCATCTCAGTTACTAAGTGTTGTCTCCAGCAGGTTCACTCAGTGTGGACTGGGCATCATGAAGAACACTGTCCTTTTCTTCATGAGGGATTGCAAACTTCTGAAAAGGGTCCACAGTATTTTAGGTTTCCTGGATATGCAGTTTCTGTGACAATGAAAGGCAGCCATGGGTAATATATGAACAAAACTTCAGTTATGGACACTGAAAATTCAAATTGCACATTATTTTTTTATGTCATGAAATGTTACTCTTCTTTTGACTTTTTCCCAACTATATGACAACAGTATGATACCAGATTTGGCCAGAGGCCATACCTCATTGACTCCTGCTTTTTTTTTTAAAGGCCAGCTTTTCAATACATGAATCTGTGAATGTGGAGCTAGAGGGACCTCCCCATTATCTATTCCATGCCCCTTACTGGGCAAACACAGGGAAATATGTACACAAGAAAAAAAAAGGATGTCCTAAAGGTTCCAGAGCTGAGTAAGGCAGGGCTGGAGCCTGTGGATGAATTAGGAGAAATGATCCTGATCACCCATAGTACACTGGAGTCCACATCTCATGCTCCTGGGTTCTAGCTTCCAGGGCTCTTCCTTGCCTCTTCCATCCTTCCCCGCCTCTTCCATCCTTCCCCCAGGGAGAGCATGGTTTCCCACTCTGGTAGTCACTTCTGTGGCCAAAAAATGATTGTTTTCTTTCCCTATGGAAATTCCTAAGTGAATTTAGAGAATGACAAACAATTATCAGGTGAGGGTCCAGAGGATGAGGCAGCAAAACATCGTGGGCTCTCATAAACAATGGTCTTCCTTTCTCCAGAGTGTTCTGATGGGTAAGAGACCTCTAGAATCATGATGAAGAACGCATGTCTTCAGCTCAGAGAGGATGTACCCTAACAAGCTACACCCAGCTGCCACACCCACACTTGCTATTTAAGGCCATAAGGGAAAAATGGGGTTAGGGCTTACTTTGGAGACTATAGAGTGACAGCTGTGAAACACAACTCTGTGCTTCTGAATTGCTTCTTGAAGCTTATTTTTTTCCCCTTTGCTTTTTGTAATTGAATAGGAAAGAGATAAATGACAGGTAGATTTATTTCATTCTAGTCACTCATACCCTTTCTTCTCTTCTGTTTTTGAGGTGTCTTGAGATAAAAGATACAATCAAGAAAATTATTTAGAAGAGTTCAGATGGCACAGACCATGTAATAAATAGGGTATGAGTGTTAAAAGAAGGCTAGAAGAATGCTAGTTATGCAAAAGATACTGAATGATATAGCATGCTGAAAAGAAAGAAATCTGAGAGCATGCAGTTTATTCTAGTTGTTTCTGTGAGGGTATTTTTACAGGGATCTTAAAGTTTGATGTTCAGACCATCAGCTTTCTTCACATCTGACCTGAAATAACACCCAAGGGCTGGAGACTCTGGCCCTGGGGGATGAGCAGTTGGTGTACCACTTAGATAAACTGTGCCATGAGCCAGTGCCTGAAGCATTCAATCCAAGTAGGAGATAGTCTGAAAGGTTGATAGTACAAGCCATTAACTGGAGGGAAATCCTCCTGGGTTAGCAAAGCCCATGTTTTCTTAAGAATTCTCTGACAATTCATTTTCTGGCATAATTATCATTTTTTATGATTATTCTGCAAGTAAGTCATTAACCAGGTTGGTAGTGATAATGACTAGGAAGAAAGAGAATGAGGGAGGAGGAGTGAGGAATATGAAGAAAATTCTTCTATTTCCTCATTCTGACAACATCTGTCCTAAAGAACAGCACAAGACTTTCTTTATGAGAGGATTTTTCTGTGTCTTCCAAATAAATGTTATTCAACACCTACATGATTATTTAAGGACTCCACTGCAAATGCAGAAAGGCACAAAGCAGAAATACCAGTCTTGGGCCTGCTTCTACATTTTACCAGTCTTTTAATAGAGGCACAGTAATTTGTCAACCATTGTTTTCTTCCATCAGAAGTCAAATGCATGTCCCCCCATTGAAAAATAATGGGGAGAAGTAATGCAGATGCCACCCATGTACATTCACAGAAACTCCAGTGTTGAGATACTGGGTTTCGTTTTTGTTATTTTGAGACAGGATCTCACTATGTAGCCAGGCTAGCCTGGAACTCTTAATCCTCCTGCCTCAGCCTGCCAAGTGCTGGGAAAAGATTATTAAAACTAAGTATGGTCACAAGCTCTCCCATCTGCCTGGCACTGAGACTCACTTTCTCCTGTGCTTCTTCCCATTCATTAATTGGGATTCCCAGACATGTCAGGAGGATTCTTTTCAATTCTGTGCTCTTGTGTTCACTTCAATAAGTTATGTCAATTGTGGTTGGATACTCTTCTTTTGTCTTAGGGTTGTTATTTTTGGTCAATTTTGTTCTTTTGGAATCAAAAGCTGGCAACAACTACACATCTGATTCTTCATTTTTTATTCTTTGAAGCAGAACCAACTGCTATAAAAGAATGAAGACTCAGTTTTCCAGGGAAGAGCTCACTAGAGCTAGATCTTCATACATTCTATCATATGTGAAGACCTGATGAGATTCCAGTCTCTTTTGCTCATTTGTTTTGTTTTGTTTGGGTTTTGGGGGTGGAATTTTTTGGCTGTGCCCTTCTGACCTCAATTTCAGAGACAACTTGAATTCCTGAGTTCTGTTTCTACTCCCCAGATGCTAAATAGGGTTTTATTCTTTCCTCTTTCCACTCATATCCTAGTCATCTTTTTTATTGACAAATTAAAATTACATGTATTTTACTCATCTTTTCAAAAAATAGTATCTTTACTGAGCTATTACTACATATCTTAAAGAATTTAAATATACAATATTTAAAATATACAATTCAGTGGTCTTTAGCATGTTTGCATAATTGTGCCTCCATCAGCATAATCTAATTTTAGACCATCTCCATCACCCCAAGAAGAAACCCCATACATGTCAGTGGTCACTCCCTGTATAGATATACCTGAGATATTGCAGGATCATCCAAATAAAGTGAGTCACATGAATTTTTTTATTTCCCAGTGTATATAAAAGTTATGTCTCCACTATACCATACATTTTTAAAGTATGCCATTATCATTGTGTCTAAAAAAAACAATGTACCCAGCTCAAATAAAAATACTTTATTAGTAAACAATAATAATGTTCATCTGAGTGTCAACAAGTTGTAATCTTTTTGGTAGTGGAGGGACTTGCCTCCATGTTGATGCTTGCTGACTGATGAGGGTATTAGTTACTACAGGTTGAGTAACTGCCGATTTCTTTTCTTTTGTGATCTTTGTACTATTTTGGCTTGAACTTGGAGACTTGTGTGTGCTTGCTGTGCAAGTATTCTACCACTTGAGCCATGACTTCAGTCCTTTTTGTTGTAGGTAATTTTTTCAGACAGAGCCTTGCTTTTTGCCCTGCTGGGCTGGGACTGTGATCTACCTACCTCTGTACCCGTGTAGCTGGGACTACAGGTGTGAGCCACCATGCCTGGCTGGTGCCAATTAATAAAAATAAGACAACAGTGAAGTTTGTCCCATCAATTGACTCCTCTGTTCATAAAAGATTTCTCTATAGATGAAATGCTCTTTAATAGCATTCTGCCTATGGTAAAATTTCTTTCAATGACAAGTAATATTTTGAAATGGATATTTTTATCTGAGCTTAGATCTCTACAGTGAGTTTTAAATATTTAGTAACTCATTATAAACAGATGTACTATCATCTTGGCTTTGTTTTTCCATTATAGAACATAGGGAGAGTTGAGTTATTATAATTCTTAAGAGCCTTGGCATGTGCAGAATGATAAATGAGCATTGGCTTCAACTTAGAGTCACCAACCTACATTAGCCGCTACCTAGAGAGGAGTCTGTCCTTTGAAGCTTTGAAAACAAGCACTGACTTCTCTCTATCTGTGAAAGTCCTAGATAGCATGTTCTAATAAGAGGCTATTTCATCTACATTGAAAATCTGTTGTTTAGTGTTGTGACCTTCATCAGTTGCCTTATAGATTTTCTGGATAACTCACTGTACCGTCTATATCAATACCTGCTGTTTCACCTGAACTTTCATGATTATGGCTTCTTTCCTTCTCCTACACCTCATGAACCAATATCTGCTTACTTTAAACTTCTCTTCTGCAGCTTTCTCACCTCTCTCATTCTTCATAAAATTTAAGAGAGTTAGGGCTTTGCTCCGAATCAGGCTTTTGTCTTAAGAGGAATGTTACATGAGGTTTGATTTTCTATTCAGAACACTAATTTTTTTTCCATATCAGCAATAAGGCTGTTGCTTTACTTTCTTATCATCCATGTGTTCACTGAAGTACCACTTAATTGTCTTCAAGAACTTTTCCTTTGTATTACCAACTTGGCTAACTGGTACAAGAGACCCAGCTTTTGGCCTGTGTCAATGTTTGACATGCCTTCCTCACTATGCTTAATCATTTTTAGCTTTTGGTTTAAAGTGAAAGATGTGAAACTCTTACTTCAGTTGAACACTTAGAGGCCATTGTAAGATAATTAATTGGCCTAATTTCCATATTGTTGTGTCTCAGGTGATAGGAAAAGACTGAGGAAAGGGAGAGAGATGGGGAAACAGATGGTCAATGGAGCAATCAGAACACACACACTTATCTATTAAGTTCAGTCTTATAGGGACATGGTTTGTGGTACCCCAAAAACAGTTACAATAGTAACATCAAAGTTCCCTGGTCAGAGGGCTGAAAGTATAGCTCACTAATAGACCATTTGCCAAGCACACTGAAAAAAAACTGGCCACAGGTCACTATAACAGAGTAATAATAAAAAAGATTGAAATATTGTGACAATTAACAAAATGTGGCACAGAGACACAAAATGAGCACCTGCTCTTAGAAAAATGGCACCAGTAGACTTGTCTGATGTAGGGTTACCACAAATCTTCAATTCATAAATAACATCAGAGAACAAGAAAACAAAATACAGTAAAAATGAGTTATTCTTGTATTAACTTCCTATTCCCACTGTAACAAGTTACCACAAAATTAGTGTCTGAAGACAACAGAAATTTATTATCTTACAGTTTTGGGTGACAGAAGTCAAAAATGTGTCTCGCTGGGTTATGTTCCTTGCTGGGGAATCCAGGGAGGATTCTTATTTTTCCAACTTCTAGAGGCTGTGTGAATTCTTTGGTTGATGGCCCCCTTCCATTTTCAAAGCCAGCAATAGCCAATTAAATATTTCTTATGTGCTATCTCCCTTATTCAACTCTTCTGTCTACCTCTCTCCTTATAAGGGCCCTTATAATTATAATGTGCCCCCCCTAGATAATTCAAGACAATCTTTTTATTTTAAGGTTATCAGATTAGCAGCTTTAGTTCTGTCTGTAACCTTAGTTCCATCTTTTCTTGCAACATAGGCTACAGAAGCTCACAGGCTCTACAGATTAGGATATGGACATGTTTGAGGGCCTATTATTATGCCTGCTGTACTCCCTGTTCTCCCTAACTCCACCCCTGGACAACCACTAGCCTATTTTCTGTCCCTGTACATCTACCCATCTTTTAAATTTGCCCACATATTCTATTTCTTCCTTGAGTTTCGTTTTTTGGCCTTTGCTCTATATTATTACCATTTTTGGTCTCTTGTGACTGCCATCTTTTCCCTCATTTGTTGGGAGATGATTGGCTTCTGGGACAGAAAGTAAAGAAGATGGTAGAAAAGAGAAAGGGGTTAATGTTATTGCAGGACCAAATGATGGGACAGAAAAGAGATGCACCCATGTCATCAAACAATATTAACAAATGACTAGCTACAAATTGCACCGAAAGCAAATGAGCTGCATACTATAGTAAAAACAGCCCTTCTTATGAATTAGCTCACTTCGTTTTAGGGTTACCTTCTTGGCTTTTGAAGATCCTAGTTACCTCAAACTGTAAAAGGAAAGAGCTTGGCCCAGATCAGTGGTTCTCAGGTACGTCTCCTAGGACATGCAGATACTCCAGCCCCACCCTGATCTACTGCTTCAGAAATTGTAGGCATGACCTTCCTGCACCCCCAGTCTGTTTTAATGAGCCCCTGGATGATTCTGTTGGAATTCTAAAGTCTGAGAGCCATTGGACTAGATTATTATGTCTGAGTTCCCACCAAATACAGTCTATAAGTAAATTTCTAGATATTAAAAAATAAGTATCATTTTTAGTAGGAAGAGGACAAGAAAATGCTAAAAGGAAACAGGTCATTTGAAAGGTCAGCATTGTTAGACTCCTACTAGAAATATTTCTATGTTGTTAAAATTCCCCATCATTTAGTATTTCATTTCACTTGAATTCATGACCTAGATCCAAACCCTAAAGTTTTTGTGTGTGATTCAAAGAATCTTAGAGTATCTATTGCATGATATGAAATAAGAGTCTGATATTTCCTCTGAAACTGCTATGTGTTCCACCCCACAGGTCTATAACACTGGCCCAAGCAACCTTCCCAGGTCATCTGTCAGCGTCTCTTTTCCTAATCGGCTGTCACCTGGTGGTGCAGAGATGTTTCAGGTTCAAGAGATGGTGGTAAGTCTACCATTTGTTTTTCCCTTTTGCTTGCAGCCTTGACCTAGCCTATTTGAATTTTGTATTCCACCTACCATGACATCCACTCTGAGAGGTCAGAAGACTTAACTGATTCTGCACTTTGGAAATGTGTCTGGGAAAACCAGGGAAACAAGAATGCCTGAATTTCCACACTGGGACAGTTTGGTTAAGAAGACCTCTTTAGGGATGGGGAAAGGCTGACTGTAAACCCAACTCCTTGGAATGACCTTCACTAACTAGGAAACCCAAGTGACTAACTGCAGCCTTGTGTGTCTGAATGCATTTCTCTGAGGAGAAGATCCACAGTACTTGTAAAGATTCCCAGAGGGCCACTGGCACCCAAAGATAAATGGTTAGTGCTTAAGTCATATACACTATGAGGTTCAAACTCAAGTTTATATGTGGAACATGTCCTGATCCTGAGTCAACAGGAGCTGACTTTGTCTCCAGGGAAACTTGATAAACAGTATATGATCATCTCTGCCCACCTGCTAGAAGCATTTTCCTTGGCTCCTAGGATATCACGTTCTCCTGGCTTCCCCTTTCTCATTGGCATTTGTTCTCATCTCCCTAACTTCTAGGGGGCCAAGGCCTCCTTTATTCTATAACCCGTTTCTAAGGAAGGTCTCACTCAGACTTGAATGTAATTCCAGTCTATGCTGATGCCAGCCCTATTTCTCTGCAGCCCAGATCCCTCCTATGAACCCTAAATTTTGGTAATCAACTACCTTGAGGCCACTTGAAGCCTAACAGATACCTCAATTTTATCCAAAACTAAATTCCCCACAGTGCCCTTCTGTCTCAGTCCATTTTTATTGCTAATGACACAATACCACAGACTAGGTAGGTTATAAAGAAAAAAAGAGTGTTATTTTTGCCCACAGTTTTGGTTGAAAGTCTAGGGGTCTCACCTGATGATGGTCTTCTTGCTGGCAGAGCCCTAAGGCAGCACAAAGTATAATGGTGAGAAGCAAAGATAGTATGGTGTGTGTATGTGTGTGTATTCAATCATGGGTGTTCCACCCCAATGAATGTATCTAATTCTAATCTCTCCTAAAAGCCTCACCTCTAAGTACATTAGTCAGATTAAGTTTTTACCCTCTTGCTATTTCACAATGCAGATTAAACCTCAGCATGAGTTTCAGAAGAGCAAACCACAGCACCTTCCAAACCTGTTTCTCCCACAGCCTTCCCTATCTCAGCAAACAGCTACTCCATCCTTCAGTAGCTCAAGTTGAAAGTCTTGGGTCGTCCCTTATGCCTCTTTTTTCTACGCTTCACATCTAATCCTTAGCAAACCTAGTATCTTCTCCTTCACCACAAATCGGGATGTTGCACCTCTGCTTCCAGCACCCTGGTCCAAGACACAATCATCTATCACCCAGGCTATGGCAGTAGCCCCCTGGCTGGTGTCCCTGCTTCTGCCCTAGACCCCTGAAATCCATTGTTGACCCAGCAGCAGAGTAATCCTTCCAGAATGTAAGTCAGGTCATGACATGCCTCTGCAAAAAAGACCTCCAATGGTTTGTTTCTCCCCCAAATTCTTCCAGTAGCTCCACTGAACCCACAGTCTCTCACCTGTCATTCTGACTTTATCTTCTCTTCTTTCCCATTCCTCTACTACAGTCACGCTTACTCCTCCTGGTCCCAGACAATCTCCCACCTCCAGAATCTTGGCCTCTGTCTTTCATCTACCTAGAATGCTTTTCCCCCAACTATCCATATAACCTCCTCCTTCTCCTCCAGGTGTTTGCTCAAATGACACCTTATAAAGGAGACCCTCCCTGGCTAGCCTCTGTTCTGGCACTCCTCATTCCCCATTCCTGTTCACATTTCACCAAGCTGACATCCCATGTATTTTCTTATTCGGCCACTTAAACTGCCTCTTCTCCACCCCTGCAATATAAGGACCAGGATGCCTGACCATCTGCTTGCTGCTGTACCTCCAGGATCTAGTACAATACTTGATATAAACACATGCTCAGTAAATATTTGTGGGCTGGAAGAATAAATCCATAGTCTAAAACAGAGTTGTTTACTCCTTCCAAGTAAATTCAGGAAAAAAAAAACATATTAATCTCAACGGAATCTCTTTGCTCTGTGATTTAATTTTTCATTGCTGAGAAATGATTTAACACATCCAACTTGAGTCCTCATGTCAGAGTGCTCTGGAGCCCCTCACGTCTCAGACTCCTGAGTGACTAGGTATGAGGGTGGCACCCCCTGCTGAGCCCCTGGGAGGGATAGAGGTGTAAAACTAAGGGGAGTCGCCACCCAGGAGAGTGTGTGCAGTCCAGAGTGAAAAGATGGGAGAGCATGGCTCTTTATGTGGGCATGGGAGGGACAGGCAACCAGATTAAGGGACAATACATAGCCCGATAAAAGGATAACTTCATCCACAGCTTGAAAATCAGGGCAGCAAGCCCACGACATGTGACATAGCTAGGAGTTGAAAAGGACTTTGCCCACAGGGTGGAGGCTCAGAAAGCATCGTGTAATGTAGTCATGGTTCTGGCATTGCTGTCCTCTTGGGTCACATGGGCCAGAAACCAAAACCATGTGAATGTTGAATGTAAAATGGGTCATGCCGCCTGAGTTGCCCACTCAATTAGTTACATCCCTCACACTATTGCCTTAACATTCTATGGCATACCCTGTCTGTGAGCTCTGCTGAACTGGCAGAAGAAAAGCTTCCACTGCTGTGTACCAACAGCTTACCATGGTCTGCACTTAGTATGAGGTCAGTAGACCATGCACCCCTGTCTACTCTCTTAAGTATTTTTTTCTTTTTGATGCTGGAATTGAACCCAGAGCCTCACACATTCCAGGCACATGATCTGCCACAGAGCTACACCGCTAGCCTTGTCCCTGTTTTTTTCAATACTGGATATTAAAAGCTGGGCCTCCTACATGCTAGGCAAGTGCTTTGCCACCACTTGAGCCATGCCCCCAGCCTTTTTGTTAGTATTTTTGAGATAGAGTCTCACTAACTTTGCTCAGCTGGTTATCCTCCTTTCTCTAGCTCCCAAGTAGCTGGGATTACAGGTGTGTACCACCACACCCAGCCCTCTCCCTCTTACATATTAATTACACTAACAATTCCACCTTGTCCCCCAGGGTCTAAGAATATTCTCATTCAGCATGTTCTCAAGAGCTGTTCATATGGACATCTACAGTATTGTAAAGATACTTTTTTGCCCATGGACAAAATTAATTATTGACCAAGACAAAAAATTTAAGTCACTCAGATGCTGAAGGTATCTCAGAACCAAGTGCACCCTTTTTCATCTTCACCAATCATCAGACCAAGGAAACACTACTGGGAAGGACATTTATACATGCCTGATATATGTGGCAGGTGTTAGAAGCAGTTTTCCTACAAACTTGCAGAGCTGCTTGTCTATGCATCTAGCCATTGGACCCTTAAGTTCCCAAGTGTCAGGAGCTGGCTATGCTCTGTTCTTTGAGTTCTCAGAAGCAAACCCATTTGAGTTTCAAAACTGTATTTAGGACTTTAATGAAGTTTGTAACATAATTCTCAAGAGTGGCCAAGAAGATAAACAGGCCAGACTAAGGAATCTGCCTGTTATGAAAAGCAAATTGCCTGGCTGATCATAAAGTCATGACATTCTCCACTTTGATCTTCTGGGACTTTGAGTGGGCCAGGGCTTCCATTCTGGGGACTTGGGTGGCTTAGTGCTAACTGATATCATTCCTCGTAGGAGTGCTCATCAATAGTCATTTTCCTAACAGAAACCAGTGCTCTGATCCTAAGGCCTGGTGGAATTCCTTCCCCTTTCCCAGCTACCACCATTCCTCAGCCTCTGGCAGGCTACTGAGCACCTGGGCACCAGCTGACATGTGAAGCCAATTGAAGCCCAGAGGCAGGTTGTAGGCATGGAGGAGGGCCCAACTATCCTCCTTACCATACCACAAGGGACCCCTCAGAGTGTTTCCCTAAAAGTTGATTTAGAAAACATCCAGAAGTCTCTGGAGCTACTATGAGGGGTTCCTGGGCAGGACTGGATTTCATCAAGGCATCTTCTGTATTTGCCCAAGGAATTTCTTGAGATCTAGCTATCTGTGAGTAGAGACTTTGCTTATATAGGAGAGATTTTTATGGGAAGCATAGTGAGACCATTCCATACTCTCTACCTTGGTTCATGATATTTTTCCTTATAGCAAATGTCCCTGAGCCCTTCCACTCTACATGTGTTTTATTTAGAAGCACATCCATGGTGGAGGCCTAAGAAAAACTCAAATTTTCCATTGCTTCCCACCCACTAGAGTTGCATGGAACCTTTGTGGGACTATAGTAACTTCCCACATCACAGAAAAAAATTTAGACAGACCATTTTGGTCCTAGTGTGCATCAGGAAGCCATTGGAATGACCATGAAAAATAATATATTCAGAGAGAGGAGAATGGCAGACCTTTCTATGATAATAATATCATCACCAAGAATAACTCATTCTTGATTTATTCTGCAAACACTGGCTAAACAAGCACTTCTATGTGCCATGTCTGAGGAAAGAAACAAGTCACACAACTGCCCCAGAAATTCACTGTCTTGAAGGAAACTGATCTATAACATGCCATTGCAATACCATGTAACAAATGCAATAATGGAGGCAGGCCCAGGCCCAAGGACAAACAAGGGTACAATGCCTATCCTGGGAAGGAAATGGGAAGTACTTCATGAAGCAGGCTCCTCAAGAGAACACTTAGAGGATGTTTAAGAGTTGACCAGGAGAGAGGGTGAAGAGGAGAACATTCCAGACAGAGGAAACAGTGAGTATATCATGGGCAGTATCTGACATGCTTGGAGTTACACCTAATTCTCTATTCTCTCTGCCTAGCTCTTATTCACATAGGCAAAGATAATACTTCTTTATGCTTTCCCTGGGATGCACAGCATATAAGTATCTTAGCAGGGTAGTGGAGAGTGTGAAACCAAAGTCATTTCCTGAGATGGTGGC